CTTCGATTCATCGTATTCCTTAATAACTCATGTGAGTAATCACTGATTTAGTTAATTGTGATTTTAAGTTTCTTCTAGTGAAATATTCATGTATTACTGCTCTATTGTGATTAAAAGTAGTGGGACTTGTTAATTTGCGTGTTCGTAATTTTATGATGGGATTAGATTTAGAAACTCAAATCCTTAGATCAAAACCATGACTTTAGATCCAAAATGTTTGCTATAGTTAATGTGATGATGAATGAAATCGGCATATTGTGATTGGAGAAACATACTCATCAAATCCCTCCTCAAATCCTTGTATGTCTCTTTCTAATGTAATGGGTCTAGCTTCAAATGAAGTCTTTGATTTTTGCATTCCAAGTGTTTGTGAAAAGTCTTGGTTTGGAATTTAGAAGAACCTTACAAATTATAAGTATATTCTTGATTGTTGTCAATTCTGCATAACTAAATTAGAAAATTGGGACAAAATTGATTGTATTTTTCTTATTTAACTTAAAAACAAAACTGAATTGTGTATCTATACAGGTGATCCATTGAATGTATGTTATGGTCTAAGGGTACAACTTCCCATTGCAACAACAATAGCAACAACCAAATGATTCAGATTCTCCCCGGAAAAATCAACCTACTCTAACAGAATGCATACCGTAACTGAATCTTGAATTCCAATTCTATCAGAACGGAATCACGAATTCCAATTCTGTTGGAATGGAATATGGATATTTTTCTCACTGATTTATGCATTGGATTTGTTTCCACAGAAGCAGCTGATGCTTGAAGAATGGACCATGGAATTGAAAGTGATTCTTAGCAACATTATTCTTTTAGAATGTATTAGTGTCTTTGTTAGATTTTGATGTTTTTTTTCCCGATTTGAAATTTTTTTTAGTTTTATTCTTTAAAAATAAATGTAATTCTTAGCAAATGTTACATGTATTCTATAAGAATTAATGTAATTTTTGTTTTAATTCTTCAATTGATGGTTCGAGAACTTTGTTATTCTACAAGAAATTTTGTTATTTTTGAACATACTCAAACATATTCTGTCAGAATGTCCGAACTAAAAACCTTATAATTTGTAAAATCGGATTTTTAAAATTAATAGAATCTTTGATCCCTTAAAATATGCAAATTTCCTTTATTAAATCTATGTTAACTGACTAAAATACCCTTCTAGTTAAATTAGATGGAATTTTTCAATTATATTTAATTAAATAATATGTATTAATCACTTTCTTAAAATAAGTAAAATGATTGGCCTACATTTATGCATACAATAATACAATAATTACTTTGAATAGAATAACCTAAGCCTATATATATATATATATATATATATATATATATATATATATATATATATATGCTAGCCGTTTACCCATTCCAAGCGACGGGTGCGAATAGTTTTTCTCAGAAATTAGTTTCTAGATGCGATTAATTCTTTTGCACAAATAGTTGAGTGTTTTATGTCGTTGATAGTGTAGAAATCTTCAAAACATATACAGTCACTAATTTGCAATAAAAGCATGTGAAAGTAGTATTGCTCCCCTTCAGTGGCATTAAAAGAAACCAAACGACCTCAAATTAATCATTGTTTTCGAGGATTCCAATGACTCGAGCTCAGATTCCACATAAATTTTTTTGAAAAACTTTGTACTTATATAGTCTCGCAGTGATATCTTCTTTATTTTTCAGAAAAAAAAAACAATTAACATTGATCTCTTATCTCCCTCCATGTCAACAATGCTAGTCATCATATCATAATCACTGAACCATATGCTGATTTGGGAGATGCACCTGCAGAGCCATCAAAAAAGTGTGGATTTGAGAAAACGGGATACTAAAAGTCTTTCAAATTGCCTCGGGAGGCGAGAGATATCGTTAATAAAAACTAGTGAAGAATCCCCGCTTTGCGGGGGTAGGAAGTGATCGAGTGTTTGTAAAGGGATTTAGTTCTTTCCGGACTAACCTCATAAGAGGTTACTAATCCTCAGATATTTTATACAAAATCAACATCATTCTCACAAATGAGCTAACAAAATATTAATTGAAAAGGGTATATATATATATATATATATATATATATATATATATATATATATATGTGTATGTGTGTTAAAAGCTAATTAATATAAGTCGGGTGTTTGACGATCTATGTAATTTATAAATAAAATATACTATGAATATACTTTTTAGAATAAAAAGTAAGATAACATATATTGTTGTAAAGAAAAAAAGATAGAATATATATTTGTTAAAAGTTAATTAATATAAGTTAATTAATATAAGTCGTGTATTTATAATCTATATAAGTTATAATAATGAAATATTATTATTCTATTTTTTACTCTCTCTCTCTCTCTCTCTCTATATATATATATATATATATATATATATATATATATATATATATATATATATATATATATATATATAGGGCTAGGTTATAATGTGGATGAACAATTATTGTGCGGACGTGTGGACAATGTTATTCTTTAAGAATTACTAAGATAATAAGTTGTTTAGTAATGCGAATACGTTAAATCTTACAAAAATATCGTTATTTTCATGCATTCTCACTAATTCTTATTCATTTTTGTTCTCAAACATCGTTTTTCACTTATTTTCATTCTGACAAAATACGACACAATAAACATTCTGACAACATTCTGACAGAATGAGAATAGTAATAAAAAGTTTATAATAACCTTATAAACGATTTAATTAGTGAGAATGCGTGTTAATGACAATAGTTATGTAAGATTGAACGTATTCATATTATCAAACAACTTATTTTATTTGTCATTGTCACAGAATAACATTGTCCACACGACCACACAATAGATGTCAATCTACATTTGAACCTATATTCGAAGGAAATGAAGATGATCTAAGATGGTCATATACAAACCGAAAATAAATAAATAAATAAATAAATAAATATATATTGAACACGGAAAAAATACATTTTATATTGGTCAATGACTAATTATGCAAAAAATGAAATTACGTTGTTTATCCTCATAAATAGTTAAAAATTTAGTAGTAAATTTTTGTGAAACATAGGACCGTTTATGTAATTTTATCTAATTAAAGTTTAAAAAATTATTGCATAACAATTGACAGCTAACAAGTAGTTAATTAGCTTTTATTTGTCTTAATAAAACAAATAGACAATGGCCTACCTTTTTTTTCTTATATTGGCAAAGGTCATGACATTCGCATAAGACATACGTGTTGGTTTGTTGATGTTTTATTTTTATTTGTTTCAGATTCAATCTTCAATAAAGGATAGTATTAAATATTTTGGCAAACATTAAGCACTTTGAGTTAACATTAAAGTGTTTCTTGTTTTTTAATTAACAATATATGTCACGTTCGTCACGCCAAAAATGTAGTAACGTATGTGTCGCCTAATTTTTGTCACACTTCTTAAACATCTTGTCATTTAGGAGGGATATATATATATATATATATATATATATATATATATATATATATATATATATATATATATATATAACTAAAATGTTCATTAAAATACCAAAAACAAAATACATTTGAAATTAAAAGACAACAAACTTAAAATTAAAAACACACAAGACACTAGAAACTAAAACATGTTAAACATTAAAACAGACTTCAGATTAAAATAAAACACAATACAAGTTCATTCGAAATGTTGACGTCATTTGTTGTCCGCCTCACAACTTGCTAAAACTCAACAAACCAAAAAGGTTTATTAGTTTCTTCACAGAAAGTCTCAAGTGCATCGATAAAAAAAGTATTTTCATTTTCACCATTCACTACTTCATGCCCCATCTTAAGAAATATTGTACTATAACTGTGTTTGCATTTCTCCATTTGGAGAAGAGTTGATCTTTACTTCGAGGTTTACTAGCTTCGCGGTTGGATCTTCCAGCCAGAAAGTAGGCCTATCAACGCTAATGTTGATTGACTTTTCAGATACATCGAACCATGAACGAGCCAATATACTCTCTTCATCTGTTGTCCAAACATGAGCCATTTTTTAGAGATGAGGTTTTGAAGATAATAAAAATTAAAAAAATGTTATGATAGTTGAATTAAGAATGTTTAAATGTGGTGAAAATAATAAAAGATGTTAGTATTTATAGTAGTTAAGGTAATGTTTACAATTTAAAATTAAAAAAAATAAAAAAAATAAAAAAATAAAAAAACGTTTGTATTTTGAAAAATGGGATTTTTTTTTTTGAAAAATAAGGTGTTTTTTGAAATTGTAATGTTTGTTTAATGGTAAACAAAAGGAAAAATATGCTCTCTCTCATCGGTATACCCTCACCGAGTTTGGCCATCGAACTCGGCATGCCAAGTTGATGGTGCGATGTTTAATGAGGTCAACTCGGACATGTCGAGCATTGCCTTATCCCACTCTGCCTAGCCAAGAGATATTAAATTCTTAAATCAATATATCATACAAAATGGTCAACATCTTTGAAGAAAAAAAGTGAACTTGAAATTTAGTCTACTTAGTTTGATGAAAATTGTTTGTAAAATTCAAAATGAAAATTGTTAATAAAATTCAAAAAGTTTCCCATCTATATTATTGGTACAAAATATGTTTTTTTATTTGATTTTTAATAAATATGAAAATACTAAAGTGACTATAAATTTGGTCCCTATAATTTACCAAAAATCAAGGTTGTAGAAAACGCTAGACGTTAGCTAGTCGGTGGACTGGGGTATAGGGATTAATCGGCTAGGCGGGGATTAATCGGATACCATTAATTATTAAGAAAATTATTCAAAAATTTATAAATCTAAGTTTAATCTTAAAAATATAAGTAAATAAGGATAAAAGTTTAATAATAACTTAATAAGTTTAAGAAGCACAACAAATCATCATCCAAAATAAGCATAAAAGTTTAATAAGTTTAACTAAAACACAAACTCATCATCCAACAAGTCCATTAATAAGTTTAAATAACTCAAAAATAAACACACATTTTCTTCTAATCTTATCCGCATACTTCCATTATTTGAACCCCATCCGACTCGTATTCGTCTTCTTCTAACACTTGCTCCTCACTTTCGGACTCGAAATCTTCATCTAAAAGTTCCCTCGTTCTTGGACTTTCTCGGGGTGCTTGACTAACATCGGTTGCTAGAGCTTCATCAACCGTTTTTGGGTCTACTTCATCTACATCACAATCATCGCAATCAACAATCCATTCTTGAGCCGAGAGAGAATGATTTGCTAATAGCACTTCCATGTTTCTATCTTTTCTCCTTTTGTTTTTTTCCATTAAATTAGCATTGAATTGAACATAAACAAGATTGTTCAATTTGCTTGTCTCCAATCTATTTCGTTTCTTCGTATGTACCTACAAATTTAAAGACAACAAATACTTTAAACATGCTTAATATTTAAATTTTATAAAATATAAATTTAATGCTTTATATTACTAACCCCTTCAAATGTAACATCCGGATTTCCAGGTATTATGTTTGATCTTTTATTCTTTGAGAAAAAGGGAGGGACTCGACGAGTTGAGGCGTAGACTCGTCGAGTAGGAGCGCGTGTGCTGACTGGATTAATGAACGGACTCGACGAGTCGGAAAGGGTGGACTCGACGAGTCCGCGCTGTAATTTGAAACCCTAATTCTCGGGGTCTGTGCCCTATTTAAAGGACTTTATGGCCTCCATTTGCGGCCACTTCACCCCAGAGAAACCCTAAAGAGAGCAGTAGGAGAGTTTGAGAGCAAGAAGAGGTTAATACATCACTTTTGGTGTAGTTTTGCTAGAAGGAAGAAGGAAACACCAATCTAGAGCGTGAAAGGGGCTTGGATCTGGGCTAATCATCTTGAGATTTCATCTCTGGAGGTATAATCCTTTCTATTTCATGTTGATATGATAGATTTCATGATTTTAGGGTTTTTACCCCCATTATATGTAAGATCTAGTGAGTAGGAGGTCTCCTTTGTGTTAATAGCATCAGATCTGGACCATGAGAGGTCCATAGAGTCACTACCCCTCAGCTTTATGCAAGCAAATGAGAGATTGGAGACTAAGTTGCCATTTTTAGAGTTATTTATCCATTTGTGACTTGATGTGGGTTGCATGCACGTAAAGGTTGCACCTTTACGTGACATTTGAGCACTTGAAGGGTAGATCTGATAGTTAGGGAAGCAGATCTGACCTTAGAAGGTCATTTGAGTAAGAACATGGAAGCAACTCGCCGAGTCCATAAGTGGACTCGACGAGTCGAGTCGGGGTGGCCCCGCGATTCGTGAGAGGAGAAACCCGTCGAGTGGAAGGATGACTCGACGAGCCAAGAGAGGCTAGAAGGATTCAGATGACCCGCATGGACTCGCCGAGTCGCCCATGTGCACTCGACGAGTCGGGTCAAAGTTTGACCGTTGACTTTCGTTGACCTTAGGGTTCTGGTCAAGACTGATTCAAGAGAGTTCAGGGAGGGGTAGAATGGCCTTCTACCCAATCTTTAGAGATGAGACTATGAGAGAATATTGATCGGGGATGTTATTTGAATGATAGGAGGAGGCTAGGTCGGGACGTTGAGCACGAGAGTTATCCGACTTCATTGAGGTGAGTCTTCTCACTATACTGTACCTAGAAGGGTACCTATGTGTGACCGGAAGGTCTTATATGCTATGAGATGTATGAGCTGTATGTTGTTATGTGATATGTATGTGTTATGTATGTAATGTACGATAAGGACCGGAAGGTCAAGATGCTATGGACCGGAAGGTCAAGATGATATGGACCGGAAGGTCAAGAGGTTACGGACCGGAAGGTCGATACGGGTAGGACCGGAAGGTCTACCGGGATTTGGGACGGAAGTCCCCTGAGACACATGGATCGGAAGATCCTATAGGGGTTATGGCCTGGAAAGGCGTATGTGTTGTATGTGGTATTTTGGGGAACTCACTTAGCATTTATGCTTACATAATGTTGTGTTATGTGTTTCAGGTACTAGCGAGGATCGCGGGAAGGTGCCGGCATGATCCGTACACACTCATAGAGATTATTTTTGAGATTCTGGGATTTGTTTGTTATGATGACATTGGATGCAGTTTGTTGATATTGTCTATGATGATTGAAAATATGATTTAAAAATGAAAAATTGTTTTGAAAATTTACGTTGTTACAAGTTGGTATCAGAGCCTTGGTTTGAGGGATTCGGATGCACCTTCGGGCGTATCTGAACTCAAACTGAGGATTTCGGAAAGTTTTTCATAAAAAGGAACAATTTTTCTAATAGAGTAAAAGATTATGAGAAAAGTAGAAAGGAGCAGTGTGTACGATCAGCCAGCGCCCGAACGGTGATTTCCCAAAATACCCTTATATTATGTGCTATGAGATATGTTATGATATGCATGCTAGAGTAGGCTAGGTATTCATATTAGGACTAGAGTGGCCTGATTTGTGATGCCTTAGCCTAGGGAGATTTCTGATGCTATGTGATGCTTGAGAGTGAGTAGATAGCAGTAAGGAGCTTATAAGAGGTCTACCAAACGGTAGCCTATGCCAGCGAGATGTAGGGTGCTTGTGATCTGGGATCCAAGGAGGAGGACTTAGGGTGAATACTGATGCGGTGTCGACGGTAGTATAGGGCCCATACTACTGAAGACACCGGAGCAGTGCGCACTCTAAGTAAGAATCCTTTGGGTACTAAGGAACAAGTAGGGTTGAGTTATCGAGTGCGAGTATGCTCGAGCGAGTCTCTGATATTATTATGTTGTATTTTAGAGACATCATGGTTGGGACACGCCACAGACCTGAGCCGAGCGGCGTGAGTGACGAGGAGCTTCGTCAGATGATCCACGATGAGGTGGCGGCGGCGATTCGAGCCGAGATTCCGGAGATGTTTGGGTCTATCAAGACCACATTGATTGAGACTTTTGATGAGCGGTACGCAGCGGTGACTGAGGCTGCGGCTGCTGCAGCTACTGCAGCTGTGATTACTGCCAGGCCTCAGGGAGGTGACTCGTTGTTGTTTCGAGAGTTCAGCAACACGAAGCCACCAGAGTTTGATGGGACGCAGGATCCGATCGCTACGATGAGATGGATTTCCGATATCGAGGGATGCTTCTACACGTGTTCATGTCCGGAGAATCTGAGGGTACGGTTCGCGTTGAACCAGCTTCGCTTGGGAGCGAAGGACTGGTGGAAGATCGTGACGGCGAGCTTCACTCTTGCAGAGATTTCAGCGGTGACCTGGGAGAGGTTCACCACCATGTTCAGAGACGAGTATGTTCCCCCAGTGGAGAGGGAACGGTTGGTTCAGGAGTTCTTGACCCTCAAGCAGGGTACTGATTCGGTTACTGTGGTTACCAGGAAGTTTCATGAGAGGGCGATGTTCTGCCCTGAGCAGGTGTCTACTGAGCAGGCACGCATGAGCCGGTATTTGGGCGTTTTGAGGAGGGATATTCGGGAGTTCGTGTCGAACTCGACTTACCAGACATTTGTTGAGCTCCAGGCAAATGCTCGAAAGAGGGAGGAGGCCGAGTCTCAGGGGATGGATCGGCGGCCGACACAGTCTCAACCGGCAGCCAAGCGGGCAAAGCCCGCCGATTCTAGATCTGGAGACCAGAAAGGCCGCACTTGCGGAAAGTGCGGCAAGGGACATGACGGGGTGTGTCGATCGGGTGCTTGCTACAAATGTGGCAAGGAGGGGCATATCGCCAAGGATTGCCCCAAGGGGTTCATGGTTTGCTTTCATTGCAACCAGACAGGCCATCGGAAGGCCGAGTGTCCGCAACTGCGGGGGACAGCACAGGGAGCACCGCAGGGATATGCCCCTGCCGCCGTGCGAGCTACTGAGGTTCGGCCGGTGAAGGCCGATGCACCGAAGGCTCGCGGGAGAGCCTTTCAGTTGACAGCGGAGGAGGTCCGCGCAGCGCCCGATGTCGTGGCTGGTATGTATTCTATCATTTATTTATTCTGAGTATGAGGTGTTGTGCTTATATTATGATATGCGTAGGTACCTTTCTTGTGAATTCCGTACCTTCTTTGGTGTTATTTGACTCGGGTGCGAGTCGGTCATTTGTTTCCTTAGCGTTTAGTCAGTACATCAGTATCCGACGAGAGGCGTTGAGTCGACCTCTGCGAGTTTCTATAGCTGACGAGCGAGCGGTGTATGCTACGGAAGTAGTTCGAGGATGTGTACTCGAGATCTTTGGTGTTGAGTTCCCGATAGATCTAGTCCCGATTGCAATGGGGGACATATGTGTCATAGTGGGCATGGATTGGTTGAGCCGATTTGGGGCTGTTATAGACTGCGAGCGACAGTTGGTGACGATACGAGACCCTAGTGGGGGAGTACTTACGGTGTACGACGAGGGTACCCGATGTGGTTCAACGTTTTGTTCGGTTGCCAGAGCGAGACAGAGTTTACAGCAGGGCTGCAGCGGGTTTGAAGCTTATGTGATGGACACACGAGAGGCCGTTGGGAGGCCAAGTTCGATGGATGACGTTCCGATAGTGCGTGAGTTCCCGGATGTTTTTCCCGAGGAGTTGCCGGGTGTGCCTCCCGAGAGGCAGGTAGTGTTCCGCATCGATTTGGTTCCGGGGGCAGCGCCTATCGCCAAGGCGCCTTATCGCCTTGCGCCGCCAGAGATGCAGGAGTTATCCTCGCAGCTTCAAGAGCTGCTGTGGAAGGGGTTTATTAGACCGAGTAGTTCCCCTTGGGGAGCACCGATCCTTTTTGTCAAGAAAAAGGATGGTTCACACCGGATGTGCATTGATTACCGGGAGTTGAACAAGTTGACGGTCAAGAACCGTTACCCATTACCGAGGATCGACGATTTGTTCGATCAGTTGCAGGGAGTGTCTTGGTTCTCAAAGATTGATCTGAGGTCTGGATATCATCAGACGAGAGTGCGTGATGAGGATATTCAGAAGACGACGTTCAGGACTCGTTATGGGCATTACGAGTTCGTGGTGATGCCTTTCGGGCTCACCAATGCACCAGCAGCGTTCATGGATCTCATGAATAGGGTGTGCAGGCCGATGTTGGATCGTTCGATGATTGTGTTCATTGATGATATTTTAGTGTATTCGAGATCTAGAGAGCAGCACGAGGAGCATCTGAGAGAGATCCTCGGGGTATTGAGGACGGAGAGGCTTTATGCCAAATTCTCCAAGTGCGAGTTCTGGTTACGGGAGGTCCAGTTCTTGGGGCATCTCGTCAACCAGAATGGGATTTTGGTCGATCCGGCCAAGATTGAGGTGGTTATGAGGTGGGAGGTGCCGAGATCACCCATCAGATCAGAAGTTTTCTAGGATTGGCCGGCTACTATCGAAGATTTATCAGAGATTTCTCTAAGATCGCCGTGCCTCTCACCAGGTTGACCTGGAAGGGTGTTGCTTTTTCATGGGGTCCCGAGCAGCAGACCTCGTTTGAGACACTTCGCCAGAGATTATGCGAATCCCCGGTGTTAGCTCTCCCGGAAGGGATGGAGGATTTTGTAGTGTATTGTGACACATCGATATTAGGGTTGGGTGCAGTACTTATGCAGAGGGGGCATGTGATAGCGTATGCATCGAGGCAGCTGAAGCCTCATGAGACAAGATATCCCACCCACGATCTGGAATTGGGGGCAGTGGTGTTCGCCCTCAAGATCTGGCGTCACTATTTGTATGGGGTTCGGTGTACCATATATACGGACCACAAGAGCTTGAAGTATTTGATGGATCAGCCCAATCTGAATATGCGCCAAAGGAGATGGTTGGACGTGGTAAAGGATTACGATTGTGAGATCCTGTACCACCCGGGCAAAGCTAATGTTGTAGCTGATGCCCTGAGTCGTAGGGCGGAGAGTGCCCCGATTCGAGACATTTGTATGCGACTGACAGTGATGACTCTGGTGTTGGACACCATTCGGGAGGCCCAGGCAGAGGCCGTGATACCGGAGAACCGCAAGAGGGACCGGGTGATCGGGCAGGTGTCTGAGTTCGTTACTGATAGCCGAGGGCTAATGACCTTTCAAGGTCGGATTTGGGTGCCATATGCAGGCGGGGCACGTACCATTCTGATGGAGGAGGCGCATAGATCGAGGTTCTCGATCCATCCCGGAGCCACTAAGATGTATTTGGATTTGAGGAAAGACTATTGGTGGCCCTGTATGAAGAGGGATGTTGCATGGTTTGTTGAGAGGTGCTTGACCTGTCGCAGGGTTAAGGCCGAGCACCAACGTCTGCATGGCAAGTTGCAGCCACTTGAGGTTCCCCAGTGGAAGTGGGAACATATTTCCATGGATTTTATCACCAAATTGCCAAGGACCGCGAGGGGTGTCGATGCAATTTGGGTGATCGTTGACCGGTTGACGGAGAGCGCTCACTTCCTTGCTATCAGTGAGAGCTCTTCCGCTGAGAGGCTGGCTGAGTTGTACGTGATATCGCGTCATGGAGTACCGATCTCGATTGTGTCAGATCGAGATGTACGTTTCACTTCCAGGTTCTGGAAGAAGTTCCATGAGGAGTTAGGTACGAGGCTGCATTTCAGTACTGCATACCACCCCCAGACGGACGGACAGAGTGAGCGGACGATTCAGACGCTTGAGGACATGCTCCGAGCATGTGTATTGGACTTCGGGGGAAGTTGGGACATGTATCTGCCGTTGGCTGAGTTTTCTTATAACAACAGCCACCATTCGAGTATTGGTATGCCTCCCTTCGAGTTTTTGTATGGTAGGAGATGTCGGACTCCCATTTGCTGGGGAGAGGTAGGGAAGCGCGTGATGGGCAGCATTGAGATAGTGCTTCAGACGACTGAGCATATACAGCAGGTCAGGCAGAGGTTGTTGACAGCTTAGAGTCGCCAGAAGAGTTATGCGGATAGGCGACGATTCGAGCTTGAGTTCCAGGTGGGAGACTTCGTGCTCCTGAAAGTGTCTCCTTGGAAAGGAGTGATTCGATTCAGGAAGAGGGGCAAGTTGGGGCCCCGGTATATCAGGCCGTTCAGGGTGACCGCGAGGGTGGGCAAGGTAGCATATCGTTGGAGCTACCTGCGGAGTTGAGCCAGATTCATGATACCTTCCACGTGTCTCAGTTGAGGAAGTGTATAGCCGACGAGTCGGCGGTGGTGCCGCTGGAGGATATTCAGGTGGATGCGAGCCTGAATTATGCTGAGAGGCCAATCGCGATCCAGGATCGAAAGATCAAGGTTCTGAGGAACAAGGAGGTGTCCCTGGTGCAGGTCCAGTGGCAACATCCGAGAGGATCCGAGCTGACTTGGGAGCCGGAGTTGGAGATGCGGGAGCAGCATCCAGAGTTGTTTGCGGAGCAAGACTTCGAGGGCGAAGTCTGATTCTAGTGGGGGAGAATTGTAACATCCGGATTTCCAGGTATTATGTTTGATCTTTTATTCTTTGAGAAAAAGGGAGGGACTCGACGAGTTGAGGCGTAGACTCGTCGAGTAGGAGCGTGTGTGCTGACTGGATTAATGAACGGACTCGACGAGTCGGAAAGGGTGGACTCGACGAGTCTGCGCTGTAATTTGAAACCCTAATTCTCGGGGTCTGTGCCCTATTTAAAGGCCTTTATGGCCTCCATTTGCGGCCACTTCACCCCAGAGAAACCCTAGAGAGAGCAGTAGGAGAGTTTGAGAGCAAGAAGAGGTTAATACATCACTTTTGGTGTAGTTTTGCTAGAAGAAAGAAGGAAACACCAATCTAGAGCGTGAAGGGGGCTTGGATCTGGGCTAATCATCTTGAGATTTCATCTCTGGAGGTATAATCCTTTCTATTTCATGTTGATATGATAGATTTCATGATTTTAGGGTTTTTACCCCCATTATATGTAAGATCTAGTGAGTAGGAGGTCTCCTTTGTGTTAATAGCATCAGATCTGGACCATGAGAGGTCCATAGAGTCACTATCCCTCAGCTTTATGCAAGCAAATGAGAGATTGGAGACTAAGTTGCCATTTTTAGAGTTATTTCTCCATTTGTGACTTGATGTGGGTTGCATGGACGTAAAGGTTGCACCTTTACATGACATTTGAGCACTTGAAGGGTAGATCTGATAGTTAGGGAAGCAGATCTGACCTTAGAAGGTCATTTGAGTAAGAACATGGAAGCAACTCGCCGAGTCCATAAGTGGACTCGACGAGTCGAGTCGGGGTGGCCCCGCGATTCGTGAGAGGAGAAACCCGTCGAGTGGAAGGATGACTCGACGAGCCAAGAGAGGCTAGAAGGATTCAGATGACCCGCATGGACTCGCCGAGTCGCCCATGTGCACTCGACGAGTCGGGTCAAAGTTTGACCGTTGACTTTCGTTGACCTTAGGGTTCTGGTCAAGACTGATTCAAGAGAGTTCAGGGAGGGGTAGAATGGCCTTCTACCCAATCTGTAGAGATGAGACTATGAGAGAATATTGATCGGGGATGTTATTTGAATGATAGGAGGAGGCTAGGTCGGGACGTTGAGCACGAGAGTTATCCGACTTCATTGAGGTGAGTCTTCTCACTATATTGTACCTGGAAGGGTACCTATGTGTGACCGGAAGGTCTTATATGCTATGAGATGTATGAGCTGTATGTTGTTATGTGATATGTATGTGTTATGTATGTTATGTACGATAAGGACCAGAAGGTCAAGATGCTATGGACCGGAAGGTCAAGATGATATGGACCGGAAGGTCAAGAGGTTACGGACCGGAAGGTCGATACGGGTAGGACCGGAAGGTCTACCGGGATTTGAGACGGAAGTCCCCTGAGACACATGGATCGGAAGATCCTACAGGGTTATGGCCTGGAAAGGCGTATGTGTTGTATGTGGTATTTTGGGGAACTCACTAAGCATTTATGCTTACAGATGTTGTGTTATGTGTTTCAGGTACTAGCGAGGATCGCGGGAAGGCGCCGGCATGATCCGTACACACTCATAGAGATTATGTTTTGAGATTCTGGGATTTGTTTGTTATGATGACATTGGATACAGTTTGTTGATATTGTCTTTGATGATTGAAAATATGATTTAAAAATGAAAAATTGTTTTGAAAATTTACGTTGTTACATCAAATGTGCTCCAATTCCTTTCACAACCCGATGAACTACTAGTTAAAGAAAGAATCATCATTGCAATCTTTGTCAAATGAGGAGTTGTGCCATCAAATAGTCCCCACCAACTAGCTATGGTTTTGAAAAAAAAACACGTTATTAATCGATAAATATCAAAATTTTATAAAATAGATAAGTAGATAACTAAAAGGAAAACGAATTACCCGGATCAAAGTCGGCATCGTTCACCTTACAATGTTTAATTGCAAGATCGCAACTAAATCTATCAACTTTTTTCTTGTACTTTGGCAAGCCAATAGTTACGACTTGCCTTTGCATCTCTAAATCTCCACGAAATAATGTATCAAAAAAATCAAGAACCGCATCCATTACATTGGGATCATATTGGAGTTGTGGATCCTTATAATGATAATATGGATTCAAAAGATAAGATGTTAAATGTAAAGTTGAATCTAGCCGACCTTTCATCTTTGTGTTTATGATATCTATAATAGGCTTGTAATGTTTCTCGTTTCCACCCAAAGATTTGATAATTTCTTCTTTTGCAACTTTAATCTCCCCGTAAACAAAACCCATTGAGGGCTTCCAATCCGCATCAACCATTTGAAGGACTTTCACCAAAGGGGAGAACACCTTTAAACATTGTGTCACACCGGACCAAATTTGGACACTTGTCACTGTTTTATACGAGGTGATCCCTTTAGGCTTACCGGAAAATTTACATTCGTCCCATTCATTGCTAGAGAACATATGTCTTAGTTGTTCCTTTTTTCGGACAAACTTTATAATGTTAGAAAGGCGGAAGCAAATCTTGTGACTCTCGGTCGGATAATTTCCTTTTTGTTGGTGTAACTTCTCATCATCGCCAAGGTTTTGTGGTGAGCATAAATGAATATGGTTAGTTTCTTTGCTTGATCTAGGATTTTCTTAAACCTTGGGAGTGCTCCGATGCCTTGAAAAAATAAACACGATTAAATAACAAATTATAATATACAATTAAACATTTTTAAACTAAATAAAGTAATAAACAAATAAAATAATAAATACAATAAATAAACAAAATAATGTAAATACCTTCAAGCATAAGGTTAATGGTATGTGTCGCACATGATGTCCAAAAAATAGATGTTCTTTTCTGTTTTAGCAACTTCGCCGCCCCCATATTATTTGTGGCATTATCGGTCACAACTTGAACAACATTCTCGGGACCAACTTGTTGTATAAAAGATTCCACATACCCATATATGTGTTGGCTTGTATGTGCTTCACTGGAACATTCTTTTGAAGATAAAAAAATGGTACCCATCTTCGAATTAACACATAAATTCATTATGCTTCTCCTCTTTCGATCGGACCAAGCATCCGTCATAATCGAGCATCCATCCTCTTTCCATTCATTTTCGTTTTTTTTCAACAATTTTTTTGTTCTTTCAACCTCACTTAAAGCATATCTAGTAGGACAAGGAAGCCCAGTTCCAAATTGGCCAATAACCTCCAACATCATTTTGAAGCTATCCCTTTCAAAGGCATGAAAAGGAATCGCACTCTCATATCCCCACCTACTAATGAATTTATGGACCGTTAATATTCTTTCTTTCGGGACAATATTGTTAAGATCAACATTTTTTCCCTTTCCCGCCTTCAAAGCTCCTTCGGGGTTTATTATGTTTGCAAAGTTATCCATGGGGCCTATAACATTTGGTTCCTTCGACCCTAAAGAACTTTCTACTTCATGAAATTCTTGTCTCGCCTCCACCCTTAAGCCTTCATTATGCACTTGTTTAACTTTCTTTTCTAACTTCCCTTCATTAAGAGAATTTTTACATTTCAATTGATCATCTTTTGTAGAGTTTGGACATGAAGACACATTACCCGTCACATGAGCAATATGTTGTTTCATTCTATAAATCCCCCCACTAAATGTTTTTCCACACAAGATACATTTCAATCTATCCATGTTGCTTTTATCCGGGATAAAACCATAATCCCAACCAACATCATCCGAATTACGTTTATGTGCACCGGTGGCGGTGGATCCAACGGATGGTGTAGTCGAAGCATTAGATGTCATTGACTGTTAACTGTTACAATAACCAACGGTTAAAATGAATTAACACACTTAAAATGAATTAACACACTTAAAATGAATTAACAGCTTAGAAATTCTTGACAGATGCAGTGTTTTGGATCACAGATATGAATTAACAAAGTACAACATCCATTTTGAATAAATCTAACTATCATTATGCAATCATCTTTAGGAGGTAATTCAAGAAAAACAATCATCTGTACTATGAGCCCAGCAATAATTCATGTTGAACAATCAAGAAACACACTTTCAATTGCAAGCTGTGAAATGGAAGTAAGTACAAATGCCCAGGTCAATACGTAATTTCAAAAAAATATTTAGTGAAGCATCTGCAAACAGAATGAGATAGATTGGAAAGTGAGATAAGAACTCTAGGTTCTAATCGTTTCACATCATGTACAGATGCAGAAGCAAATAGATGATGCACGATCACATGTTCACTAACAAATAACAATTCACAAATAATAATATTGACATGGAATCTGGTGAAATCAAGCAACAAAAGAAAGAACAAACGAAAGTAGCGTGACTTTGAATCTGGCTCGCATGGAAATCAGTAGCCCAAATAATGAACAAGAACCGGTGAAATCAAGCAACAATAAAGAGAATATTGAGTCGTCCAGGAGAACTAACCTTCGTCGATGATAAGAGTTGGTGTTAGAGGTTTTCCAGAGCAGTACACGACGTCGGAGGAGCAGGGGCAGAATCAAACACGAGTTTCCTGAGCGAGCTTCGAAGTTGAGAATGAGACGACGGGCTTCTCTAACTCGAGAACGCGATGACGAAGTTCGAAGTTGAGCAGGGTCGTACCAGAGCAAAAGACGACAACGTGATCGGAAGAATAGGATGTCGGCGGTTCAATTTATCAGTCTGTTCAAGGTTGAGATGAGAGAGAATACGTATTCCTAATACTTCGAATGAGTAAATTTGGAACCAACCCTAGAAAAGTTTTCAAATTGACATTTTTGGCCCTAATTTGTTTGAATTTTTGTTGACCGATTTTGACCATTTAAAGCGCCTAGCTCCGATTAGTTCCGGCTTTGACCGACGTTGACCAAACTGATTACAATGGCCGATTAGCCATAAACCTCATCGGTGGAGCTCCGCCTAGACCGATTTCTGCAACACTGCCAAAAACTATAAATGGTCTTCAAAAAGGTTTTCCTTTTGCACCACTAGTCAAAAAAGTAAATCTTTTTATGGTTTTGTTAATGGAAATCCTAAAAATAATTTTTTTCCATTTAGATTCTTTTTTACATTGTTTTAATATTGATGGTTTTTAGGGCATTTGATACACATACATACACAACGAAAGACTTAAACTAAATTATTATGTATACATGTAACCTATAATGATTTAGGTTTCATACTATTACTACAATTACTAAAATAGATATATAGAAATACATACCTCTTTTGCATCTAGAGACTTTCCGGTTTGTGATGTTGTCATGCCACATTGCATGGATGGGAGAACTCATATCCATCTAGTGAAATCACACTCAAAACTCCAAAAATGATAACAAAAATAACTAGGAGAAAGGCTTGATCAAAATTTATACAAACCCTAAGAGGGTTAAGAAATTCGATCTTACTCAAGGGAATAGAGGGGAGAACGGAATTTTTAAGGAAGAAATGAGCAAGAAGGATTTTTGTCACTAGTACCGTATTTATATGCCTTGGACCCTTACCCCCAATTGCATCTCCTATCCCATGGACATATGCATATTTTAAAATTTCCCATACCCCTTAAGAATTCTGGGATATTCCAATTAATTAACTTTTAACTAATTAATATTAATCTCCTTTAATCAATTAAAACTATTTAACTAATTCTAAAATAATTTTCAATTAATTTATTAAAACATAATAAATTAATAAACTTATTGTCTCGTTTATTATTGTAACATCCTTAGTAAAAAAATTATTTTTAAATTGACCAAAATCAACAATCATTTGTTTCAAATCATCAAAGTATGTCAAGATAGAACATAGTTATCAGAGTACAATCCCCAAAATCATAAATGTTGGATACGGGTGGATGCTTTGCGTTCAGGTCGAACCCTTCCCTTTTGAGCCAGAAAGTACCTAAAAAACATTTAAACATAAACTGTAAGCACAAAGCTTAGTGAGTTCCCCAAAATACCACATACCATACAAGCAACTAGCCTCACCTAATGAGTACAACAAGCCTTGCCCTAACTCGCATAATGGGCCTCGCCCAATGAGTACAACGGGCCTTGGCCTGACTTGCATAACGGGCCCCATCAAATGAGTGCAACGGGCCTCGACCTAACTCACATAACGAGACCCGCCCAACATACCAAAACATGCAAGTATCACACAGTCAACTAGCATCCTACAACCATAATCCAGTCGTTCGACAATGGTGCCTTCGACCCACGAGTACAGTGAAGAGACTCGCCTCAATTCGATGATAAGTAATCACACACACTCGATCGGCTGCCACATAGACTCCTCACACTGAACACATCCAAACCAATCCTAATTACTATTTAGGGTAATAACCTATAATTAAAGGCTCGATTTGTAATCTCTCATCCAAAGGGTAAAAGACCATTTTACCCTTCCATGTTCCAATACTTCCAAACATGTCATATAGTCCAAAATGACGAAACTTAACCTCTAGGGGTTACGCCATGCCTACCCTTCCTCTTCGCCTTGTGTAGAAGTGTCAACCAGAAAATAGGCTAGCCTTACACTCTGCGCAACATACTCACACGCTACGTTGGGCATACTCACCGAGTCACCAATAGTCTATTTAAGCACTTAATCTCTTAATCCCAAACGTCCAAAACTCGGATCTATCCCTAATAGACGTCCCAAAACCAAAAAGTTCCTGACTTCATGGCTTTGCATGGCTTAATGAAGCCCAACACCAATTTCTAACTTCTTTACTTCACAAAATGGTCAATAACTCATGCCCAGTTGACATAGACCCAACAAGGTTCGATTTTGATGTAATAAGGACCTCAGAATTATCAAGAAATGCTAACCTAAGCTTCTGGAGTAGCTTTTACTCACAGGAGCCAATCCTCGGGACGAAAACATTCCAAAAACTAAGCTAATATAGATCTAAGAAAAAGAATCATAAAGGTTGAGACTTTATACCTTTAGAATGATAATGAAGATGAACAAAGTCTGGATCTACAAGTTATGGGCTCCAAGTACACTTTCAAGATCTCCTTCTTCACTAGTACACACCAAAAATCACACAAAAGTTTGAGATTCTCACAAATGAAGCTAGGGTTTTGTGAGGGATGAGAGAGGGTGGTGGTTGATGGTAATAAGGGTTTCAAAAGGTTTAAGGTCCTTAATTAGGGCCCAAGACCCTAAAATTTGGGTTTGCATTCAGCACGAGTACGCCCTACATACTCTAGGTACACCCAGTCTGCTCAAGAGAAACCCCGTGTCCAAATTTTAATGAGTAACGCCCCGCGTAACCCTCAATTACACCCAACGTAATGATCTTTCATGCAAAAACTTATATATATAAAACGTAAAGAATTTACCTGGGAACCGGGTGTTACAGTTCTCCCCCACTTGAATCAAACGTCGTCCTCGAAGTCTGCCGACACAAATAATTCTCAGTAATGCTCCCTCATCTCCTCCTCAGGCTCTCACGTCCATTCTGAACCCTTTCGATGCTTCCATTGCACCTTCACTAGACCCACAACCTTGTTTCGCAAAGTCTTCGTCTTCTTGTCTAGAATCGCAACCGGCATATCAATGTAATTCAGGCATTCATCCGCCTGTATATCCTATAAAGGAACCACTATGGAATCATCAACCAAGCATTTCCGCAGCTGAGAGACATGAAAAGTGCTATGAATCTGACTGAGCTCCTCGGGTAGCTCCAAATGATATGCTACCCTGCCCACCCAGATGATTGTTGGGTTTTCTGCGCATCAAATACACTCTAAACTAGGTAGCGGAAAAATTGAAACTACGATATACCTAAGTGTACATGCAACCTATGGATCTATGGTTTCATGCTAATTACATCTACCATAGAAAACATAAAATACAAAAAAGAAAAACATACCTCTTATGTAGCCCTTGATCTCCATGCTTGAGATCTTGATCCTCCATGAAGTTTCTTGGATGAGAGGACCCAAACCAGAATCCCTCTAATGGTATCACACCCAATGACACCAAAGAGTGGAATAAAAATAACTAGGAGAATAGTCAATTTCACATGTAAGATATTAACACAATTATATTGTGTTCTACTTGTATTCTCCCCCTAAAAGCATTTTAAAAACATTTAAAACTGTTATTTGTAGGGGTTTAAATTCACCTTTAGTGAGTCATTTGAATGAAAGATCGATATAGGAAGATTGATTCACAAGCTAGTTCCCGGGACAAAACAAGTCCTAAATAGCAATGTATGCAACATATTGACATCAAATTAGTGAATATAACCTCAAAGATATTAGGAAAACAACCTAGGATGCAAGAAACACTTACAAAAGAAGTGTTAGAATCAAAATCAAGTGGCTGTAAGGAGTTCACGGCCAAGCTTCGAAGGGTTCACGGCCATACACGGTTCACGGCCCAACTTCTTGATGAATGATGAAGATTCAAGTGTTTTTGGCCTAGAAATCCCTAGAATGATGATGAAATGATGAATACCTTGAAGATCCAAGCGATATTCTAAGAAGAATGGAAGGCTTGAAAGATGATACTTGAGAGAGAAATGGTGTGTTCACGGTTAGAAGGGTAGAAGCGAGTCAATAATTAGTCAACTCTAATACATATAGGAGGGAGGTTCACGGTTCGAAGCTGGTTCACGGGCCAAAGGTTGTTCACGGCTGAAGGCTCGTTCACGGCCCTGCGAGGGTTTGCGGTCCGAAGGGAAGAGAGAAGAAGAGAGGTGCGAAGTTTCTCGGTTCCAACTAGTTCCCTTCTTAAACATATAAAACCTTGAATAAGAGGTTTAAACACTTAAAAGTCATTAC